ATTTATGGAAATGGACTAATTTAAGCTATAAGCACAGTTAGCAAGAAGCCTGCCACGGCCATACAGTTTGTAAGCAATATAAGTCTCTGTGTTTGCTTGGTTGGGTCTGAGCGGCTGTGGGACTGGCGGGTGACAGAGATTTGTCCTGACTGTGGGCAAGGCAGGAAAACTCTAGCGACATATTTGCCTTGGACTATCATATCTAGCTGTTTTCTTTTACTCTGTTTTAAAAGTCTTTTAAATTAGCAAGTCCTAGCTAGATCATCCCAACTTGTGACTGCAGCACTTCATGCTCCTTAATGGTACTCTCAGTTTTAAAATAAATTTTGCAAAAATTAAATTCCACCCCTTAAAACAAAGGTATGTTAGAAGACAAAAGTTTTGTACAGTATTGAATTAAATTATACATTGTCCTAGTTGACTGTATGGCTGAGTCTTAAATTCTGTTAATTTTTTTTTACAATATAATTATGATGAAGCATATGCTTGCTGGTTCTTGCTTTCTTTAAATTTTCTTTTAAAGATTAAACTATGATCCTTTAAAAACACTGTGATCTCTGTCTAATGATGAGCTGTAATTGAGTCCCTGGCCACATTATTGAGGATTTTCATGACATCCACTGAAATTTGTGCCCGTTTCCATAGGACTCATGCTGGACCATTCATTAACATATGCTTACATAATATAATTGTTTCAAGCAAGTCTCTCCTGAGAAAGATAAAGGTCTCAGCAATCAATAACTGTACTTTTGCTTCAGGAAATGCCAAGATAGATTTATTGCAGATAGCAATTTGCTTTCATAGTAAAATGGCAGCTCATGAGGAATTTTTACCTAAAAGGCTCACTTGCACACTTTTCCCTAGTTGTCTCCACCTATTACTTTATCATGCATTTACTCAATCATAATGATTCAGCTACTTTGGAAATCCTATTTCAAACCACTTTACCTTCTGACCTGCCTGGAATTACTTAACTAGGTTATCCCTAATGACTTCAACCATAATTTTCTATTTCTGATTTGTCCCTTTAGGAAGGCCATAGTGATCTCTCAGCTGTTATTTTTGCTTGTTGCAATGAAGAAGTCTAACCTTTATGTTGTCTAATTAACCGATGAGTATTGTTTTTAGAAGTGCAGCATAATTAACCATAAAGATGTATTCCTAAATTAGCACATAAGTAAGTGTTATAACAGAGACTAAAGACTGGAGGAAATTGAATGAGCCAACATGTAATCGCAGCCTCTCATTGTAGAGAAGCTTACACATCTTACAATGTAGAAGAATTTCCCTGCTAGCCACAGAGATGTTTCTTTGCACCATGTAGACTCATTTGTTGTCTGGAATCATCATGGGTTTAAAGTCCACACATAACAGGGCTGCTATCAGAAGACCATGAGATGTTGATAAACTTAGTTTCACTAGTTATTATTAAGCCTTGTTTTTATAAATTTAAAATGAAGTTGATTTAATCAGAAATAATTATTAATACGTAAGGATATTTTTTCAGAACCTCAATAATACATCCAAAAAACCAAGACAACTCAGAGATCTTCTTCACTGCTCAGCTCCAAGTGTTTAAGACTCAGTATCTTGAAACATACAGATGCCATCACAACCTGATCTCCAACACATATAAGTGAATCATAACAACCTGAAGCTTCTGTGATCTACAGACAGCCTCTTCTTTCCTCATACCAGCATACAGAAGAATGGATGTACATACATGTAATGTACAAATAACAGCATGTAGGATAAAGGATGTGCATGCATGTAACATACTGTGGTGCTTTGAAAGAAAATGGTCTCCATAGGCTCATAAGGAGGGGCACTTATTATGAGGTGTGGCCTTTTTGGAATAGGTGTTCAATTTTGTTGGAGGAAGTTCATCACTAGGAGGTGGGCTTTGAGGTCTCAGAAGCTCAAAACCAGGCGTATCGGCTCATAGTCTTCCTTCCTACTGCCTGCTGATCTGGATGTAGGACTCTCAGCTCCTTCTCCAGCACCATGTCTGACTACGTGCTGCCGTGCATTCCACCATGAGAATAATAACTAACCTCTGAAACTCTAAGCCAGTCCCAATGAAATGTTTTCCTTTATAAGACTTCCTGTGGTCATGGCATCTCTTCACAGCAATAGAAACCCTAACTAAAATACACACATATAATAACATGCAGAAAAGGAATATGCACACGCATACATATAAAAGCAGGCAAAAGAATGGAGGATGTGCATACACATAAGAGGATGCAGAAGAGTCTGTGTGTACACACATACCATGCATATAAGAGCATGCAGAAAGATGGATGTGCATGCACATACCAAGAATAAATGGATGGCCACTTACAGGGGAAAACTTAAGTTGAAGGTAAAGCTATTTGACAAATATTAAACTTTCAGAGATATTATTCAGCTACATATGGAATATAATGCAAGTTGTTTAAAATTCATCATTATTCTGGTTTTATTCACTTTATCCTTAATATCCATACACTATTATTTAGGGATGGAAGAGGAAGAAAAATAAACTTTAAACTGACTAACACTCATTAAGATTTATTTTTAAATTCCAATTTGGCTTACAGTATTCAAAAAGATTTTTGGTCATTAAACAGAATACTTTACTTGAATTGCTCTTATTTCAGAGCATCCTGAGAAGTAGCAGATAAAATTGTTCTTACTAAATAACACACAAACAATTATTTTAGACGAGACAAACACAAACTGTAATCTGATGATAAATTTGACATTAAAGTATTGTTTGGAAGAATACATTAAGTTATGCTTTAAAATGGGTTTTCTAAATATAGTGCTTTATAAACAATTCTTCAGTTGTGTATAACTATTATTATTTTGCAGTCGCTGAGGGAAAGCATTCTGAAAGGATGAGAATCATGAATTAAATTATAATATAGATGATATCAGTCTCTTCTTTTCATTTCCATTCAGGAACATGAGCAGAGCTGATAGTGTGCTAGCTACAATGATTCTACCAGAAATCTTCTTTATAAAAGGTACTTTCAGGAAGTTTTTATTTTAATTCGAGTGCTTTAAACATCTCTGCAGGCATGCTTATGCTTTCTATTTGTTTTCTTAAACTAAAACTGAATTTCTGTGGCAACAAGCATAGGAAATTTCTGCCTATGCTTTCTGAATTTTTATGACTTGAATAGCAGTGGAGTCAAAATGAATCTGGTTCTAATATGCTATTTTGTACAACTTGACGAATGCACATTTTAGGTTTTGAATGATTAACTGACATTGCAGATAAATTGACTTCAAAAGAAAGAGCAGATCCTTTCTCAGGTAGAACATGAGACTCCTAATCTCAGGGTCATGAGTTCGAGCCCCATGTTGGGCACCAAAATATAGCTGAAAGTTTTCCTGTGTCCCACCCAGCCCATGGTTAGGAAAAATCTCTCTCATCTGTGACCCATCACCACTGATAAAATAACCATTCAGAGGCTTATATTAATTACGAACTGGATGGCCTATGGCTCAAGCTTCTTCTTAGCTAGCTTTTATAATTTAATCCATTTCTATTAATCTATAAGTCACCACGTTGCCGTGGCATTACAGATGCCATGGGCAGCAGCTGGCATCTGTCTTGTTCCACACTTCTCTCTGTATCTCTACCTGGATTTTCCACCTTGCTGTAAGCTTTCTTGCCATAGGCCAAAACAGCTTCATTTATTAACCAATGGGAGCAGCATATTTCACAGTCCACAGAAAGGCATCCCACAGTATTTCTTGGATTTTAAAACCCCATTCCAAGGGATAATTATTGGAAAAAAGAAAGAAAGAAAAGAAAATTTAACCTCATAGATTGAATTACAGTACTGTGATTATTTCATTCTCATTATAAGATGTAGTTAATTGGGTATATAATATACTTACAGAGTTGAATTTTACTCCATAGAGTAAAATGTAGAAATAGGGAGATTTTTTGTTTTTGTTTGTTTGTTTGTTTGTTTGTTTGTTTGTTTGTTTTTACCACAGGAAGCGGGGCTTGACTAAGTTTTAAATTCATATCTATACATTAAGGAGATCATCTACTGTGAGGTTGAAGGTCCCTTTTAGATATGCGATGTAACCTGTTTATGGTATGAGCAGGAATGGAGGTCACCCCACGAAGAGAGTGACTCTCCTTGGCATCATGGAGCCATTGTTTGTGAAGTTTCGCTGTAGGCAAACAGTAATGGACAGCCACAACACAATGAGTTCATACGTTAATAAATCCCCTTAAGAAAGAATGGATCTTGCTTTTGCCAAGCATCTCATGTCTGACAGAGGTTGAAAGGCACATTAGTAGATCATTCTCCAGTGATCTTCATCTTATTTTCCTGCATTAAATGTGAGAAATGCCATGACAAGCACTTGGACCATAATGACTCTCCACAGAAATATGTACAGCAGTCAAGATTTAGTAATATACACTGCCGCCTATGAGTCAATAGTCTCATTTTAAGAACTCTTCTGCATTTTTTCAGACATTATGACTGGATTTATTATCTGCTATATATCACAACCTGACAAGAGAGTCCATGAGAGTTATTCTATGAAAGTATTATTAATACATGCAAACTAAAAGGATAAAGGAAGTTGAGTGAAATTTGAAATTCTCTACAAGTCTTGATTCAACTGATAAGTACCTAAAATTTCCTAGTAATTATTCTATTTAATAATGTAAAAAAAAACCTGCTTTAATGTAACTATCAAATGCCTCCATACACCAATAAAGAAACATTACTTCGGTCGTATTAGGGCTGGAGAGCTGGCTCTGGAGCAAGGGAGATGGCTCAGCACTTAAAGATGTTTGCTGCTCTGCAGAAGACCAGAGTCTATTTCCCACACCCCACATCAGGGGGATTCCAACTGCCCATCCAGTTCAAGAGGGTTTGAAAGACAACCTCTTTGGCCTTGTGGGGACTCACACAAATGTGCACTTGTGCATGTGAACACACACACACACACACAAACACACGAATATTTGAACAAAAACAATATAGCTTAATGTAAAAGACCCAAAATAATTGAAGACATTTGGGGGATAAGGAAGGGTATCTGTGATTAAAAACAAAAACAAAACAAACAAAAATCTTCCCATGGGAACAAAGACATCACTTCATCTAAAGTGTTTATACTTGAAATAAGGTTGTAACGTTCTGCAAAATCATGGCCCCATCAAAAGCAACTATCATGTGGTTATAAATATCTGTGCAGATATTCTCCTTTTCAATTTATTTATTTAAATAGTTATGATTGCACTTATTTGTTGTGAAAATATAATGTTTAAAATATATACATATGTGCACATATAGTGGAATGAATAAATTGTGAAAATTAATATATTTATTATTTTATGTAGTATGTGTGTGTGTGTGTATTTGTGAAGAATCCTTGAAAACAATTTTCTTAGCATTTTTAAAGCTTCCTTGGTCAAATTCATCATCCACCATGCTGATGACCTGATCACTCAAGATACTCATTACTCTGTCTATCCTACCCTGGGGAAGACATCTCTGTGTTTCTCAAAGTCTTGGTGACTTTCCTTCTCAAGAGACCCAGTACTCCTTGCCTACCATAAGGACACCAACTTTTTCCTTCTGAGGCTCCAACTTACTCTACTAGCTTTGACCCCATATGAAGATTCTCAGGAATTGTTAGATGGTAAAGAAAAACAAAAGGAAAGGAGAAAACAGTGGTAGAACATTTACACACAGTTGAAATGCTTTTAAACAAAATATAAAACAACCTAAAGGTGGCCTTAAACCCTAATTTTAAACCTTGTGGAGTTGGACAAATAAAAGATTGAGCAAAGCCTGCTCCTAAAGTCCCAGGAAAATTAAACCAGAAGCTACAAAAAGTTGTACCAAATTACATAATGAGCTAAACAACAACAATCAAACAGGATATTTCTACACAGAAAAAAATGGAATAAAGACATTCCCAAAACTAGAAAAGGCCAAAAGTCAGTAATCAGGAATAGAAAAACACTGGAAATCTTTTCAAAAGTAATTTTAGGGACTCTTCTCCAACCCAGAGAGTCCTGCCTCTATGACCTAGGCCCTGGGACACAACCAGTCCCTGGGAACCCCCACCCATCTCTGCCCCAGTTGCCAGCCAGCAGGAAAAACTCCCCCTATCGGACCCTGAAATCTGCAAGATGTATAACCTACCCCAATACCCATCTCCCTCAACCCCCAGTGGCTTCCTGAGACACAGAATGTGCCAGCTCTCATTGGACCAAGATAGGCTTCCTGAGACATAGAATCCAATAGCTCTGACTGGACCAAGAGCTCTGATAAGACCAAGAACAGCTCCCTAAACCACAGAATCAACTAGCTTGGATTGAACCAAGAGCAGCTCCCTGAGATACAGAATCTGCCTGCTCCAATTAGACCAGGAGCTAATATTGGACCCAAAGGGGCCCACTGAAAGCACAGATTGGATGAAAAACAGTTCACTCAGACACAGGCACCTCTTGCACCTATTGGAAGAAAAGATGGGTAGGTACCAGTGCAAAAATACATATAACAACATAAAGAGAAATGTGGCATCATCAGAACCTAGCCTCAAAAACACAATGTAGAAGCAGAAGAAAGTGACCTTAAAAATAACTTCATGAAGATGCTAGAGGTCTTTAAAGAGGAAAACTGGAAGAAATCAATAAAGAAATTGAGGGAAAGACAAACAAAACATTGGAAGAATTCAATAAATCCCTTAAAGAAAGCAAAATAAATAAATAAATAAATAAATAAATAAATAAATAAATAAATAAATAAATAAACATGTGAAAGAAACAGTTCAAGACCTGAAAAGTGAAATAGAAACAATGAAGAGGACACAAACAGAGGGAATGCTGGAAATAGAAAATCTGGGTAAATGAACAGGAAACACAGATGCAAGTATAACCAACAGAATATGAGATGGAAGAGAAAATCTCTGGTGTAGAGGATACAATAGAGGAAATAGATTCATCAGTCAGAGAAAACCCCAAAGCCAAAAAAGTGAAAACACAAAATGTCCAGGAAATCTGGGACACCATAAAAAGGCCAAACCTAAGAATAACATGGATAGAAGAAGGAGAAGAATACCAACTCAAAGACACAGAAAATACATTCAACAAAATCATAGAAAAAAAAAACTTTCCTAACTTAAAGAAGGAAATGCCTATGAAGATACAAGAAGTTTATAGAACACCAAATAGACTAGACCCCCGCAAAAAGTCCTCTCAGCATATAATAATCAAACAACTAAACATACAAAATAAAGAATATTAAGAGCAGCAAAGGAAAAAGGCCAAGTGACTTATAAAGGCAGACCCATCAGAATAACACCTGACTTCTCAATGGAGATTTTTAAAGGCAGAAGGTCCTGGGCAGACATAATGCAGACACTAAGAGACCATGGATGCCAGCCTAGTCTATTATAGCCAGCAAAACTTTCAGTCCAAGATAAAACCAGATTTAAACAATACCTATCCACAAATCCAGCCCTACAGAAAGTGCTAGAAGGAAAATTCCAACCTAAGGAAGTCAGATATACCCACAAAAATACAGGCAATAGATAACCCCACAATAGTAAATCCCAAAGAAGGGAAACACATGCACACACCCACACACACTACTACCAAAAGATAACAGGAATTAACAATCACTGGTCATTAACATCCATTAATATCAATGGACTCAATTCACCTATAAAAAGACACAGGCTAACAGAATGGATATGAAATCAGGATCCATCCTTCTGCTGCATACAAGAAACACACCTCAACTTCAAAGACAGACACTACCTCAGAGTAAAAGGCTGGGATAAGACTTTCCAATCAAATGTACTTGAGAAGCAAGCTGGTATAGCTATCCTAATATCTAACAAAATAAACTTCAAACTAAAATCAATCACAAGAGATCAGGAAAGATGTTACATATTTATCACAGAAAAGATCCACCGAGATTAAGTTTCAATTCTGAACATTTATTCCCCAAACACAAGGGCACCTGCACATGTA